CTATTAAGGTAAAGGGACCCCTGACCATTAGGTCCAGTTGTGGCCGACTCTGGGGTTGGGGCGCTCATCTCGCTTTACAGGACAAGGTAGCCAGCGTACAGCTTCCGGGTCATGTGGCCAGCATGACTAAGCCACTTCTGGCGAACCAGAGCAGCGCACGGAAACGCCGTTTACCTTCCTGCCGGAGCAGTACCTATTTCTCTACTTGCACTTTGACGTGTTTTCAAACTGCTAGGTGGGCAGGAGCAGGGACTGAGCAACGGGAGCTCACCCCGTCGCGGGGTTTCGAACCGCTGACCTTCTGATCGGCAAGTCCTAGGCTCTGTGGTTTAACCCACAGCGCCACCCGCATCCCGTATATTCTATTAATCAGAGTCTAATCCTTCCTTTGCTTTGGGAGCGCCACAGTTGAGCTGCTGCAGATGCACCATGCCATTTCTTCTCTCTGCGCTCCTCCCGGTGGTCATTTCTTCTCTAGTCGTTGCTATGGACTTGGCTGCCCTTCTCCAGGCACTGCGATCTTCTGAAAAGGATTCCCACACGGCAGGGTTGATGTTGCCAGTCTTCATGTCACGTTTGCAGACATCTTTGTAATGCAGAGTTGGGCTTCCAGTGATGCCTGATGCTGGGACCCAGCTCACCATGGAGCACATCCTGGGAAATCCTGCCATCTTCCATTCTGTGGTCCAAGCCAGCATGGATGTTGCTGAGACAGGAGTGCAAACTAATAAGACAATGCACGGTTCTCCCCCCTCTCCTGAATTAACCCCCGCAAGGACCCTGTGAGGGTAGGCTGAGAGGCAGCAATCAGCCCCCAAGGTCACCCAGTGAGTTTATTGTATCAGGAGGGAATTAGCTTACTAAAGGTAGTGCAGTGGTACCTTGGTTCTCAAACTTAATCCATTCCAGAAGTCTGTTCTAAAACTAAAGTGTTCCAAAACCAAGGCGCTCTTTCCCATAGAAAGTAATGCAATACGGATTAATCCATTCCAGACTTTTAAAAACAAGCCCTAAAACAGAAATTTAACATGAATTTTACTATCTAACGAGACCATTTATCCATAAAATGAAAGCAATAAACAATGTACTGCAGTCACACAATCAATCAGTATCTGAACTGGGTTCCACATAGTCATAAAAAAAAAGAGCCACAAAAATACAAAATAAATAGCAGAAAAGACCTCAGCGCAACATTCAAAATGGAGCATGTTCGGCTTCCGGAAAAAGTTCACAAATTGGGACACTTACTTCTGGGTTTGCAGTGTTTGGGTTCCAAGTTGTTTGAGTACCAAGGCATTTGAGAACCAAGGGACCACTGTAAATAGAGAGTTTAAACAGGGAGAAGAGTGAAAAGCTGTGACTGAGCCCCAGCACCTGGACTCAGCTATGTGGAGCTTGTGGCCGTGTGGTGAAGAACGATGCACCTTTGAGCCCACACAGCACACCAGGAATATGCTCTCCTCCAGGCCGTGCTTCAGCTCCAGATTTCAGCCTTAGGGCAGGTGATGCAGCAGCAGAGAATGCCTCTGAGCATACCTAGAATGCCTTTCCCTCTGCCTTGCCCAGTGTGGCATGCTTGGTATACTTTGAGGTGAGGCTTGCAGGTTCCTTCTCTGGGTTTCACTTCCGCCTTCGAAGGTGACAGCTCTCTTGCAAGGCAGGAGTGGTGCTCTGAATGTTTGGGTGTGGACATTTCCAGCTCTGCCGGCCTGGCTGTGTGCACTGCCTGGGCGTGTGGCAAGGGAGGGGAGGCCTGTGGGTGCTCCTTGCATCTTCAAGTGGGGATGGAGGGTCCCAATCCCAAAGGGTGAAGGCCAGGAGCCTCTCTTGTCACTGCTGCATTATCTCACACGTGATAAAGTGGACCCTGGGCCACGACACCTACTCCTGCAGAAACAAACATGTTAAGTAGCCACCGCGATGCTCCCGTCTCTTTCTCCTGGAGCAGGATAATCCGGAAGTTGCTCCTCCTGAAATTATTAAACAAGTGGAACTGGCTGCAGGCAAGATATATCCGCTGCTGGATATTGCTCAAGGCAGCCTTTCCCGTTTGCAAAACGCTCCACGCCATCTAATCCGCTATTGACCCTGCAGGCCATTGTTTTACGGATATGTGGAAATTTCAGCTCAAAGAACATAGAACTGCTACACAGGGGGAACGAACTAATCAGCTGAGAGTCCTTAGGGGCCAAAACTCCAAAGGGGATGATTTAATACCTGTTTGGTCTTTTTTTTTCTTCCCCATTTGTAAGCAAGAAGGAACACAGTCGAGGACCCCCCCCTTCAACCTATGAACAAATCTGGCTTTGGGCATTTGGATACTTTTACTGTGGTACCTTGGGTTAAGAACTTAATTTGTTCTAGAGGTCTGTTCTTAACCTGAAACTGTTCTTAACCTGAAGCACCACTTTAGCTAACAGGGTCTCCCACTGCCGCTGCTCTGCCGCTGCACGATTTCTGTTCTTATCCTGAAGCAAATTTCTTAACCTGGGATAGCAGAGTCCGTAACCTGAAGCGTATGTAACCCAAGGTACCACTGTATTGCCATTCCCTTGGTATAACAGGCTACCTTGCCTTGTAACCATGTCTTGTTGAATCATTATGTCTATGCTATACATAGTTCCAGTCACTACTTTCCACAGAATCACAATCCCCCCCCCCCATTTTATTTCATGCCTGCTTTTGCAGATGTGGGAAGCTGATTTTGGGCACCCATCTGTCTCGGGAGACAATGGAGGAGTGCGCCTTCAGGGGTGAAGCCAAACTGTTGGAAGGTTGCAGCATTTACTGGGGCTGTAGACACCGATACATGGGACGAGTTTTTATTGCAGCAGGGGCAGATGAGGGCGTCCAGTTACGCTGCTGCAGAGGGACCACTGTGTTTCTTCTCTCCACGCTCCCCTTAGCTCGTCATTTCCACTCCCCACCCCCAAAATATCGAGGCTAAAATGCCTTTTTATTTAAGCTTTGCACATATATTAAAAAAAGCAGAGACATCACCTTGCCAACAAAGGTCCATATAGTTAAAGCTCTGGTTTTCCCAGTAGTGATGTATGGAAGTGAGAGCTGGACCATAAAGAAGGCTGATCGCCGAAGAATGGATGCTTTTGAATTCTGGTGCTGGAGGAGACTCTTGAGAGTCCCATGGACTGCAAGAAGATCCAGCCTCTCCATTCTGAAGGAAATCAGCCCTGAGTGCTCACTGGAAGGACAGATCCTGAAGTTGAGGCTCCAAGACTTTGGCCTCCTCATGAGAAGACTCCCTGGAAAAGACCCTGATGTTGGGAAAGATGGAGGGCACAAGGAGAAGGGGACAACGGAGGACGAGATGGTGGGACAGTGTTCTCGAAGCTACCAGCATGAGTTTGACCAAACTGCGGGAGGCAGTGGAAGACAGGAGGGCCTGGCGTGCTCTGGTCCATGTGGTCATGAAGAGTCGGACACGTCTAAACGACTCAACAACACATATATATTTATATACATGCAGGAGCAAATAAGACTGTTGGTGCACTTTTTTTTTTTAATGGTAACTGCCTCCCCATACGGCAAGCCGCCTTGAGCATTGTTTTAACTGTGGAAAGGCGCATACAAATAAAATGATGATGCTAAAATGGTGCCCACCAGAAAAACGTGCTGCTGTGCCAAAGTGAAGAACCCAGCCATGTTGCCTGAAACATCCCTGCGTGCAGGTCAGGATTAGGCCTCCAAGGTGGTGCTCTAGCTGTGGAGGTGGTGCTCTAGCTTGGCATGTGGTCACACACTGGACAAGAACCATAGAATTGTTGTAACCTAAGCAAGACCAGCTACCTCTCACCTTCGTTCGAGCTTCAGCAAGACTAACGCCATCTTGTTGCTGGCTGACACCATGGTCACATGCTATTCTCACTGTAGGCTGAAAAGGGGACAGAGAAAGAGCAAACCACAAAGGGGTGTGTAAAGGAAAGTTTTGTGAGCATGCAAGGGCACAGCATACACAAAGGGGAAGAAAGAGGAAATGCCGAGGTTAGCTGAGGCATGCAAACATCTACCTTTGTGGTTAAAGCTGGTGGTAGGACTGTGTCTAAACAATACGAGACTATAAAAACAGTGTACAACAAAGAAAGCCTCCGACTGCTTTCTTGGTCGCTTGCTGTAACCTTTCCTGCTCCTGCAAGAAATAAAACTTTGCGTTTTATTCTTGGGTGATGTTCTTCAGAGCTGGTGAGTAAAGGGCTAGGCTGTGCAGGGGACCTTAAGGTAAAGGTAAAGGGACCCCTGACCATTAGGTCCAGTCATGGCCGACTCTGGGGTTGCGTCACTCATCTCGCTTTACCAGCCGAGGGAGCCGACATACAGCTTCCGGGTCATGTGGCCAGCAGGACTAAGCCGCTTCTGGCGAACCAGAGCAGCCATGGAAACGCTGTTTACCTTCCCGCCAGAGTGGTACCTATTCATCTACTTGCACTTTGACGTGCTTTCAAACTGCTAGGTTGGCAGGAGCAGGGACTGAGCAACGGGAGCTCACCCAGTCGTGGGGATTTGAACCGTTGACCTTCTGATCGTCAAGTCCTAGGCTCTGTGGTTTAACCCACAGCGCCACCCGCGTCCCTGCAGGGGACCTTAGGGAAGTCAAAAGGGAACCCGGGGGTCATCTAGTCCAACCCCTGCGATGCATGAATCGCATCTGGACGGGGCCCTCTTTTGGCCTGACCCAGCTGCTGTCCTCCGTTCTTGCGTCCACGAAGGAAACAGGGAGCTCTCCAACAGGGGGGCGAGAAGTGGGGCGGCCCCAGGACGGCACAAGTTGCCAAGACCTGCTTGCGCTAACTCCTCGGGGGGTGGTCCAGCCTGGATGCCCCAAGAGGAGACGGGCTGCGAGGCTCAAAGGGAGCGAGGAGAGCCGAGGGGAGCGGGCGGGCCGGACGCCCCCTCTCCGGCCCTTCGTTGCGCCCCAGCGGAACCAGCCCCGAGCCCCCCCCCCCCGCCACCCCCTTGTCGCAACCTCCCAGCCCCGGGGCGCCTCGCCTTGCGGGAATCCTCCGCCCCCTGGGGGCCGGGCCAGGCGTCAGATTCGCTTTCGCTTTCGTGCAGTGACGCTCCCCGCCCCACATCTCGGGGGCGACCTCCGGGGGAAGGGCAAGCGGGGAGGACCCCCAGCCCAGCTGCTGCTCCGAGGTAGGGGCTCCTTCACGGGCAGGCGGACAAGCTGCCAGCCAGTCGGGAGTCGCCCCCCAGATATGGGGTTAGGGCGGCGGCCTTTGGCCCGGAGACCTTCGGAGGGTTAGGGGCGGCCGGGGTGGGTCGGGGGGCGGTCCTTCTCTCCCTGGATCCCGGGGAAGGGGAGGTCACGCTGGTCGCAAGGGCCTCGATGAGAGCTGGGCAAGGGTCCCCTGCCGGTGCCAGGAGTCTCCTGGGGACCCAGAAGTCCTGCCCCCTAACCCCCACTCCCGTTGGAAAGAGCCCCCCCCCACTTCTGACTCGCACCCATCGCTTCATGGGCGTGTTGTAAAAACCGGGGGTCGCCTGTGAGGCTCAACCCACGGAGAGTGGCGCTTTCAACCCCATGTGTGGGTTTCCCCGCGTTTGTGGCTGTGCGCTCCTGTGCGCGCCTTCCTACCTAGCGCACTTACGGACGTGCGCTTCTTGTACAGAGCCTCGGTTTCCTTACATCAGGCGCAAGGGCTCCTTCTCCTGCCTCCTGGGGACACCCCGATCCGGGGAGCCCCCTCTCACCCCAGGCTCCTAGCGGGAGGAAAGGGGGAGGCCCAGCAGGGCTCTTCAGGTGTTGCTGGACTCCCGCTCCCTCCCTGGAGAACACTGGCCTCGCAGGGAATTGAAAAGTCCAGCCATATCTGGTGTTTGCAGAACTTTTGACCCGAGAGGACTGGGCAAAGTCAGGGAGGAGGGAGGCTGTCCTTGGCTCTGAGCCACAATATAGACTCTGCTGGTCCTCTGGATCCTTTTCACAGTGCGCTCTCTCTCTCTCTCTCTCTCTCTCTCTCTCTCTCCCCCCCCCTTCAAGGCAACCTCCCTGCAGCAGGGACCACCCCACCATGGCTGCCAAGGCCCCGTCCCTCTCCGAAGCCCTCACCAGCGGCTTCCTGACCTGCACCATCTGCCTGGAGCGCCTCTGCCGCCCCAAGATCCTGCCCTGCCTGCACAGCTACTGCCAGGAGTGCCTGCGGAAGTTGGCAGGAGGCCGGAAGGAGCTTCAGTGCCCCGAGTGCCGTGAGCGGGTGGCTCTCCCACAGGGGGGCGTGGGTGCTCTCCGGACCAACTTCTTCATCAACGGCCTGCTGGACCTGGTCCACCCCACAGGGGAGGCAGAGCCCACCTGCAGCCTTTGCCCGCTCATCGGTCAAGAGACCGGCCGGCCGGCCGTCTCCCGCTGCCTGGACTGCGCTGACGACATGTGCCGGGACTGCGCCAGCGGGCACCGCTGCTCCCGCCTCACCCACCTCCACCACGTGGTGGCCATGGAGGACTACCTCTCCGGGGAGCATGACGAGGAGATCCGGAAGCGCCAGGCGCTGCAGTGCAAGGAGCACCCCGGCGAGGAGCTGCGCTTCTTCTGCACGCCTTGTACCGTCGTCCTCTGCCGGGAGTGCCGGCTGGGGGCCCACCTCCAGCACCCTTGCCTGCCCCTGGCTGAGGCGGCCCAGGCCCGCCGGCCGGTCATCGTGGAGCTCCTGGCCGGGGTGGAGGAGACGGTGCAGGTCATCCGGGCGGGGAGGGCCAGCCTGGAGAGGGAGGCTGCGCAGCTGCAGGTGCGCGAGGCTAGCATCCGGGATGCGGTGGAGCAGGCGTGCTCGCAGGCGGTGCAGCGGCTGCTGGCGCAGCAGGAGGAGGTCCTGGCCCAGCTGGCGGACTACGTGAAGGAGCGGCAGAAGGCCTGCCAGGCCCTCTGCTCCGATCTGGAGTTCCAAGAGCAGGTGGCCTCCAGCACTGTGGCCTTTGCCCAGAAGGTGCTGAGTCTGGGGAGGGAGGTGGAGATCGTCTCCCTGGAGCAGGTCATCTGTGAGCGTCTCAGGCATCTGCAGGGCTTCTCCTGGGAGCCGCTGGCCACCCGCCTGCCCTGCCTGGAGGTCGACACTGAGATCGAGGGCAGTGGCCCTTGCCTGTTCCACCTGGAGTTCCGGGAGGAGATCCCCACTAGAGTGCCGGAGGGGCCCCAGGAGGCAGCCACAAAAGGGGCAAAGAAAGAGACCCACCTGCCCTGCTTGGAGGTCAACGCTGAGATCCCCACTGGAGTGCCGGAGGGCGCCAAGGAGGCAGCCACAAAAGGGGCCAAGAAGAAAAGGAGGAAGCAACAGCAGCAAGTGCCGCCTGCCAAGGAGGAATCCCCTGTGCCTCCTCCCAAGGACCCGGAAGCCCCCCTTCTGACACCCAAGGCTCTCTTCTCGTGTAGCTTCTGGGTCAAGACCCCCAGTGACAAGAAGCGTCCTCAGGTCACAGGGCTCTGCCCCTTTGGCTCTGGAGAGCTTCTGGTGGCTGATGAGCAAAACCAGAAGCTGAAGCGCTTCTCCCTGCAGGGGGAGTTCAAGGGCACTGTTCCTGTCCCCAGTGGCGTGGCCCCGGTCAGCGTGGCCACCGTGGGCAGCAAGGTGGCCTTCACAGCCGGCTCCTGCCTCTACCTCCTGAACGGTGAAGGTGGCCTGGTGTGGCAGAAGGCCCTGCGAAGGGGGCAGGCCAGCCATGCCGTGGTGGGGCTGGGGGGAGACCGTATGGCAGTGTGTGTGGCTGGGCAGCTGGAGGTGTACGACCTGGAGGGGCGGCTGCTGGAGAAGATTGTGCCTGAGGGAAGTGGGGAGAGGTGCCTTGTCTTCCTGGCCAACCACAAGGACGGCTTTGTGGGCTCGGACTGGTACCGCCGCAGCGTGGTCCTGTTCACCAGGACGGGGCAGCTGGTGGCCGAGTGCTCTGAGGAGCAGCTGGGCGAGTGCCAGCCGGGGGCCGTTTGTGCCGACGCCACGGGCATTATCTACGTGGTCCTACGGGAGCTGAACAAGGTGGTGGCCTTCTCCCCCAGTGGGAAGGAGTTGGGGGCGTTCCTCACTGCCGAGAACAGCATCGACCGACCGCGAGTGGTCACGGTGGCTAGGGAGGGGCGCTTTGCCGTGGCTCTGAGCAACGGCACCATCCACATCTTCCGGATTAGGTATTAGGGCAAGTGAGCCAGAGAAAGGGCAGGGTGTGTGTGTGTGTGTGTGTTGAAAGCTGTATGTCCCAGTGTTAATGACCCAAAGCAGACTGGTGTGCCATGGTCGCACAAGGTGAGCAATGGTGTGTGTAGGAGAGTAAAAGCAGCAGTTCCTCCCGCCTGCCCTCCTGTCTGGATTGGGTCGGCTCCCAGAGTTGTGCTTTACTTACCTGGGGTTGTTGTTCCCAAGGGCGGCCAGCAGAGGGCAGTGTGGAAATGATAGAACCTGGCATAGATCGCCTAACTGCCAAAATTTACATTCCTTTTGTTCTCCCGTGTAAATCAGGGCATGAAATGTCCAGAGGATGTGAGGAATGATAATGCTGCTTTTTTCACCAAAAATCCAAAAGGCTGCAACAGCTAGATATCGGCAGGCAGCAGCAGAGACCTGCTTACACTTATATTTAGACCAGTTTGCGATCAGGACGCCCGTCAATTGGACGGCTTGGGGCTGGAATACGGTTTTTTGTATACTTCAGCAGGTATAGAACTTGTTTACTTGTTTAGTCAGGATGTGGCTTGTCTCTTGAGTCAATGTGTGAAAGCATAGAAGTAAGGTAAAGGGACCCCTGACCATTAGGTCCAGTCGTGGCCGGCTCTGGGGTTGCGGCGCTCATCTCGCTTTATTGGTGGTTTAACCCACAGCGCCACCCGTGTCCCCAAAAACATAGAAAGCATGGACCAATTAAGGAGAAAGGTAAACAGGAGGGGTGGTCCTCGAAATCAGAGTGATGGGAGATGTTGACAAAGGCGGGGATTTTAGCAGGGAAATTAGGTGGTCGTGATGGGCTGTAAACCTTGCAGTACCCAGCCAGTGGGGAGACGAGGGAGGGAACCTGCGCTTCAGATATAGGGAATATAAGCTTATGCTTTGTCAATTTTGGGTGTGCCTGCTTTGGACAACTGCTCTTGCAAGGACATATTGTATTCAATAAACTCTCTGCTTTTTCACCAGTTTTATTCAGATTAAGGGATTAAGGGTTTTAGGAGCCACTTTTTAAAAACTTCTGACAGAGGAGGACCCCTCTGACAAGATGGTGGGCACCATAACCTTTCCAACGTGCCTTTTCTGCTCTCAGGAGGAAACTCGGGGCTTGGCCAGGTGTTCTGCAAAAGGGTGGCAGAATCCGTTACGCAGGAGGGCTCTCGGATTTGGCCTGCTGGTGTGGCCAGCTTCCAGCTGCTAAATGGGGCATAACACAACACAACAGAGTGTGTGTAATCGGAGCGCGAATCTGAGAGTGTGGGGCAGGATATTAAGCCTGAACGTTATATTCATTTGCACCCCAAGGAGACCATCACTGAGTGGGGATCCCGTCTGTGCCTTCCGGAACAATCTGACAGAAGAACATGCTTTGTAAACTCTGTTGTGATCACCATTCCTCTCTTCCCTATAAATATCATTTAATAATAAAACAAACATGTATATTTGCATCTTTGCAAGAGAGGACAATTGTATATGAGCTGAAATAAAGAGTCTGGATAAAACACTTCCTGCAGTTCTGATATTTTTGTCCTGGGATGCTTTCAGGTGGGAACTTAATATGTAAAAGGGCCACAGAAACATCCTGTATGAGAGGCATAAACTCCACAGCAAACAGCTGACTGGGAACCCCCCCCCCCATATTTGAACATGCAGAAACTCCACTGGGAGCAGCCAGAGAGTCTGGGAGCAGGAGCTCACCTGTTCAGAAATGGGGCAGAATCTCACCATAGAGCATATTGGAAACAACAATGAGCAGATATTTGTTTCATTCATTCATTTGGCACCCCAAAGCGATTTACAATGTATTATAACAACTAAATGAATTGCAAATATGGAAGCTCTTCATATATATATATATATATATATATATATATTAACAGTTTCAAACAACAATGTCTAAAATCAGTCTGATTCCAATGCTGATACCGGCTGGAATTGTTGCAGTAATTTATGTATAGGTTGGGGTGGGGGTTGCCCCTCCAGCAGATATCATGCACTATCAAAATCAGCACAATCACTTTTGTGACTTGTCCCCACAAAACACTTCATCAAAGTTTCTTTCTGCAGGAATCATAGCCAGGATCCTGGAGGAGACTGCGGCCCCTGAAAGAAATATTCTGCCCCAACCCAAGTGGGAGTCTTTAAGCCGCCCCCAGGAGACTCTGGGCTGCTGTTGCTTTGATACAGCCTGAGGAGAAGGCTGTTGACGGCTCCTAGTGTTGCAGGAATTTATGTATAGGTTGGGGGGGTTGCCCCTCCAGCAGATACCATGCACATGCAGCCCACTACCAAAACCAGCACAATCACTTTTGTGACTTTTGTCCCCACAAAACACTTCATCACAGTTTCTTCCTATCTATTCAAAGGGCCTCTGCTGCACGATACCAAATGTAAGAATTCACTGATCAATGCATCTGTGTACTGGCTCACTGGGAAAACTTCAGAAACCTCCCGGAGCGAGCCCTCTCGTGTTTGGAGGCTTGGGTACCCATTTTATTCACGCGTGTCTAGGTAAAGAGAGGGGAAAAGGGGTTGTTAGGGGGGGTGTGGGCTTAGGGGAGGGTTTCGCTGCTTAGCAACTTCTTAGCGGGTTTCTTAGAGAGCTCTTCTTGCCTATTCTCTATTCCTTCCCTTTCCTACTCTTCAACTTTCTCAGGGGTTCCTCTCCACTCTGCCAAGTTCCACCCAACTCTTCTCGGGTTCCCCTCCTGGCAACCTCCTACCTATCGTTAAATCTCGGAAGAGGGACCCTACTGAACGCCCGCGCCGTGCGGTGCCAGATCGGGTGATCCCTTGATAGAGTTTCGGACGGAAAATCCCCCTTGCTATCGGAAGCGGGCTCACGCACGATACACGTGTTACGTGGCCCGACCGGTGCGGCTGGGATTAATTGATAGGAAAGCAAGACCCCTTCCTGCCCCCTCCGTAAGGGCGCTCGGGAAGTTCGGAAGAAGAACTCCAATCCCTTGCTTTCAACCGAGATGCCCGTTGCAGGGAGTCGGCTGTCCTTTCAAGCCGGGTCTCTCCGTCTTATTTTCGGACTCTCGATTGGTGCGGCTGACTGGAGAATTTGAGAGAAAGAGATAGAGCTCAGAGCCCCCTTTCGGGCCGAGCGGCAGTCCACGGTCTCTCTCAGCACTTGGACCAAGGGACAGGCGAGAAAGAGCGATAGAGAGGAGGGCAGAGAATTCAGTTGCCAGGAGACTTCCACCCCCTTTTCCACCAGTGCACTGGGTTTCCTATACTCACGCGTCTTCCGTGTAGATCCCGGGATCGTAGAAGCCGGCTGGATGTCCCTTTGCTCCCCGGCTGAACTCCTGGGACGTTCGATTACCGCCCGGAGGATGGCCGGAGGTCCAGAGGGTCTTCTCGGGCAAACTGGCCCGGAGCCGGCAGAAGATTCGGGGCCCCGGTCAGCAACACGGGAGAACCGCTCGTCCCTGTTCAGGCGCCAAATGTTACGGAAAAATCCCGGGCGTGGAATTCCAAGCCACCCGGTGCGTCGGACTGAGTCCGCGGGTCCTAGCGGAGAAAATAAGCTCAGCCGGAAACAGGAGCAAGATGCGGAGATCCGAGTTTATTGCGCAACAGGTTCAAGACGAGATTGAACCCCGAGAATGGGGCGACATAAACTTTTAAAAGTTCCCTCCAAGTCCCAGAATACAGTGCACGAAACGTCATGAATACATTATGGGAAGGTTGGGTTTCATGGATTACATCACGAATATTTTACACACGTCATGAATATATTTACAGAGAGGTGGGGTTACACTGATTAGCATTTGAGACAAGGGAGGGGGAATGTGCAGAGTGATGGATATACATAAGTAAACATTTCTTGAGTACCGGTGGTGGCTGGACAAAGGGACAGTGATATGCGTCGTCTGCCACCTGGTATTGCCCGGAGGAAGGGTTAGGCAGGACGATCTGACAGGATTAAGAAGTTCCTGTGTACGTGTCCTGCCGCTTGAGGGATTATGGAGGTCAGGGTGTCATCATGGAGTCCAAAGGGAGCTGGGTTGAATGACACTGAAAGCAAGGAATTCGGAGCTATGGTTGATTTATATGATTTTCGGAAGGTTCTGAAGGTTCCCAACCTGTTCCGTAGCCCCGGTCAAAGTTGGATACATTGTAACAAGGTTTTGACAGGTTTACGAGCAAAATGGATACATTGTAACAAGGTTTTGACAGGTTTACGAGCAAAATGGATACATTGTAACAAGGTTTTGATTGGATTAGGAGGTCAGAAGTTTCGGTTCGATTGTTCTCGCTGTGGGGCCGTCAGTAGCTTGTCAGCAGCTTTAATGAGGCGTGCAAGAGCTCGCTGAGCTGCCTGAGCTAGTTCTTGCAGGATGGATGCATGGCTGTGATTGGCTAAGGCGCAGCTCAGTATTTTGAATGGGGACGTAGTATGATACGGTCAACTCGCCTTAGGAATAGGGCAAGAGGGAGGCATAGGAAGAGATTGAGACAGGAAAGAGCCTTTTATTAGTAAGGCAGGGGTATAGTGTGGTGCTTGTGCAACGATGTGGGGCTGAGGGTTCCAGGAAGGATTGGGCACTGTAGAGGTCATCGCCTCGGGCCCCTTCAGGTAGCGATGGAGGGAAATGGTTGCCCCCCCCCCTTCCTCCTTCCGTATCAGCAAAGATTCCTTTTTTTAAAAAAAAATATTTATTCAAAGTTTAAAGTTACAAAAAGAAAAAAGAACAATACAAAATACAAAAAATGAATATAACAATAACAGAGAAAGAAAAAAGAAAAAAGAAAAAAGTATACAAATACATTCTATTGAAATAGAAAAAGAACAGATTAAACCTTTACATAAACTTTCTTCCTTTACTTATTTGCTTGACCTCCTCACACCTCCCAATTTTGTATTCTAGTTCAGATCATTTTTTCAGCAAATCCTTCCAACCTTATTTTCATTTAAGTAGTTTAATTTAAAATATTATAATTTAACATCCTCTCTTTCATCAGTTTCATCAACTCATTTTTACTTAATCCTTTATATCATATCTACCAAAACTGCCTAATTTTCTTTTTCCAACATCTTTCTAACAGTCTTTAATATTGCAATATTTTTGAAGATATACTTTAAATTTTTTCCAATCTTCTTCCACCGACTCTTCTCCTTGGTCCCGGATTCTGCCAGTCATCTCAGCCAATTCCATATAGTCCATCACTTTCGTCTGCCATTCTTCTCGGGTAGGTAATTCTTGTGTCTTCCACATTGGGCCAAGATTCCTGCAGCAGGGGGGCTGGACTAGATGACCCTGGGGTCCCTCCCAACTCTACTATTCTATGATTTCCCAGATCCAAAGGAGATCCAAAGGGTTCCCCCACCCTCTGCTCCTCTTCTCTACCTAATGAACAAGGGGCCCAATCGTAGAGTTGGGAACGGTTCCCAGTGCCATCTAGTCTGACCCTCCACAAGTCTGCCAGGGTGATGCATCAGCAACTCCTGCTACAGGCCCACACCCTCCTTTCACACCCCTCTGCTGTTGCCAGAGGATGCCAGCCCCACCCCCAAATAAAAGAACTTTTGGCTGGAGCTCTAAGTGGGCACATTGTGTGTTTATGAATCCTCCAGAACTTTGAGATCTGCCTGAGTGTTCAGACAAGCAGTCTCCACAGCAGATTCACCTGCCGGCCTGTTCAGCCCCCCCCTTTCCTTCCCCATTGCAGGGGGTTGGGTTAGATGACCCTCAGGGTTCCCTTCCAACTCCTGCAATTATAGGACTCTGTGGTTCCGTGGCCTGGAGACACAAATGTGGGGCTTCTCGCATGTGTGGACGCCCGTTCTTGCACGGTATGCTGTACTTTGCTGTATTTTCACGAAAGTGTGGCCTACGAATGTTGAATAAATATACCCAACTCAGCCTCCTCTTGCAGAGCATCAACCCCACACCCCTGGGGCAACGTCCCACCCTCCCCACGGAGGCTGCTGATGCATCATGCGCCACCTTCGCCCCATCGCCCACGGATCCAGCCGTGTGGCTGCATGTCTGAACCAGCCTCCAGCCAGCTCGTCCCTGGGCCTCCGCAGCACAACCTTGCAGGGCTCCCTTTGGGGAAAGAAGCTGCAGGGCCGGCACCCCCACCCAAGAATGTGGCCAGCAGCACAGCTGGCGACTTCTGTGACTGTTGTGACAAGAGGAATGCGAGAGGGGCGAGCCAGAGGTTTCTTCATGTCACTGGGCTTCTGAGGGAGCCTCCTCCCTCTCGCTTTCGGGCCGTCCTTTGGCATGTAGGAATTCAAGGTTATGCAACAGGAGTTGCGTAACTTGTGGTTGGCTGACTGTGCGCACCCCTGCTTGCGCGCGTGTGTCATGGAAAGAGGCTAGATGCAGCTGGGGCAGCCTCCTTTGGTTTCAGGGAGATCTTGCTGATTAAGAGGATTAAAAAGGAAAGGTTTCACCGTCTGAGTTCAAGTTCAGAGCTTGGAGGAGAAGAATCAAAGGAGGACCACACTGAGCAGAAACCGCCAGGTCCACTGGCATCGGC